CTAAGGAGCAAAAGATCATCAGCAAAGATTAGATGTGTGATCTTCATTTTTCCACATCTAGGATGATATTTAAACTGTTTATCCTACTTCAAAAGGTCTAAGCTCCTAGACAAATACTTCATGCCCAATATGAATAGATATGGTGAGAGTGGGTCACCTTGTCTCAAACCCCTTTCCCCCTTAAAATAACCATGAAGTGTACCATTTAGGGAGATGGAATATTTCGGAGTAGATATACATACCATGATCCAGTCAATTAACTTTTTTGGAAAACCAAGCCCCTTGAGCATTTCATGCAAGAACTTCCAACTTATGGTATCAAAAGCCTTCTTGATATCAATGTTTAGCATAATTCTGGCAGAAATATTCCTCCTGCTGTAGCTTTTAACAAGCTCATGGGCCAATAAGGTATTACTTGTCATTTGCCTACCCTTAATGAAGGCACTTTGAGCCTCATTCACTAAGTAACCACTGAGCAAGTTATTCTCTCATAAGAAGCAGAAGATGACAATCTAAGCTTTTTACTTGCGAATATAGCAATTTATATTTTAGCTCCGATTCAGACTTCTTTGCCTTTCAAATTGTTTTAATTCGAAATGTTTGAAACTTTGTAGTTGAATTAGACCTTCGCACTTAAAATTTTGCTCATTGAAAAAGGATCAGATATTTAGCTAGGATGGATGATGATCAACTACCATCATAAGAACACAAACTCGCATACTATAATTGAGAATATTTATAAAAGAAAAGGTCCAGCAATTATCTAGGATGGATGATGATCACGCTATCGCCGGCCGCTGCGCGTAATTGATGAAATACAAGGCGTGATAAGTTGAAGTGAGGCGTCAAAAGGACGAGGCGAGGCCGATCTAGGAATATCCAGTTGATTTTGGGGGGAGAAGTGATCATATGCTAATATGTACGTAATCAATGGGATGAGATTTTTATGCTGTGTTTCTGTTAAAACGAAGGTATAATCGGATCCTCTCTACTATCAAAAAGTAGTTGAGGACCACTACATTATCATAACCGCTGGTTCTCTTATGCATAATTAAGATTTGATATATTATATGTTTGTAATTAGTTCACAAACAAAGTCAAAACGATTTGATAAAGTGGTCAGAACACAGTATGAAATGGATTAATAATATCAACATGCATTCAAGAATCATTTTTAATATTGTTTGCACATACGAAATCATTTGGTTTCGCGCGTTTAAGTTTTCTTCATGCAGAGAAACATTATGATCAAGGTAAAATAAAAATATGTAATGATCGCTTATACTATTCAACTATTCATCACACGCAAATGACTGAAGTCTTACAAAGTCAGCTGGAACTAGCTAGCTAGGTATATTTATGTGACTCACGAAAGTTATTGACATATTGTTCTTCAGAAAAGTTAACGGGCTTCATGATATAAAATGATCACTAACTAAGGATCAGTTTGATTCTCATAATTAAGTTTAAATTCTAATGCTTATGAAATCAATGAATTAATTCCATTCACTTCGTTTAGCACGCTATACAATAAAAAATTAAGAATTAGTTTGTTTTTATTTGTATACATGCCTTCAACAGATCTCAACTCTTTGTATATTTTAGCCATGCAATTGGATCTCAAATATTTGAGTTAATTCAAATATCAGAAAATCTCAAATCAATTATGCCTAGCTATAAGTGAACAACCAAAAATATGTAAGAAATTAAGGGACTGAAAGTCTTCAGCTTTCATTTGTTAGAACATCCTAATCGATGTTCTTATTATATAGATTTTGAATGGCTAAAATACCAGATTGGCATTTTAAATGGACCCTAAATGACAATAGAATATTTTAAATAGCTCCAGCTACAATTTTATAATTATTCAAAAGAAACGATAAGGCCCATAACTTTCATCAGAGATCAACTTTCTGGCCAAGTTCCCTCACGTACTTGCGTGTAATTTATAAAATCATTTATTCTCTTGCTGATGTGGCAGGATCTTGCCCCTAGTTTGTAAAATTCCATCAATCAACACCCAAATTAGGGTTTGTCATTCAATAAATTGAGGATAAACATCACATTAATCATACTTCTCCAAACAAAAATCAAACTCACAAAGAAAACTTTCAAACGTCTGAGAGGAGTCTTACCTTTGCTCCTGGTTGATGCCGTACTCAAATCGTCGTCCTCACTAGAGATTCTTCATTCTCTCATGTCACATTCAAGATCAAAGAGATTCTTGAAAATGCTCTCCTACCCTCCCTCCCTCCCTCCCTCCCTCTCTCTCTCTCTCTCATTCAAGTTTTGAAAAAAGGGTGAATTTCGCTAATTTGGGGGTGATGAGATTTTAGACATAGTTAGTTTTGCCTTCAACCCTTATGATATGCCATTCCTTATTGTCCAACTCAACCCACAATAATCACACAACAAGCATGTAAGGTAACTTGGCCGAAAAATTGATTTCCGGTGAAAATTATGGGTCTTGTTGTTTCTTTGGAATAATTATAAGGTTTTATTGTAGCTGGAGCTATTTAAAATATTCTACTGTCATTTAGGATCAATTTAAAATGTTAATATGATATTTTAGTTGATTTTAAATAAGGCTCGTCACCCTATTTTTCTGTCAAAAAATATACATTTATCCGAAACAAAACCACCTAAAAATGCAGAATTTTTTATAATAATAGTTTGAATTTCAAGACTCCAGCATGCTAGTAGAAATCCGACCATCTACACGACAAACCTATCTGTGATGCCCAGGAATCTTTCTAGAATGACCATTCTAGACGGAAATTTATCTACGATAGTCCATCCAGGATGTTTCGGTCTAAGATACTCATTCTAGACACAATTTCATCCAAGATGAACATACGTGATGGGTAACATTGATCCTAGACAGAAATTTCATCTATGGTGCCCCTAAACATGCGAGACGAAATGTTCGTCTAGGATTCTCATCCTACACTGAATTCTATTTAGGATTCTCATCATAGATGGAATTCCATCCAGGATGAATAATGCATATTAGATTGAATTCCCGTCTAGATTTGCCAATTCTAGACGGAAATTCCTTTTAAGATGAAGTAAAATTTTCAAAAATCAGCTTATAAGTAATATCCTAATGAAGTATTATATAAACACAGTGATCTATGATATTAACTATTACATTATGTTTTCAAAAATCTAAATTATGATCTTAAAGCACATTAGAATATTCTATAATGAGCAAATATCATATGTGATCAATTTCAAAAGGATGTACTTTTCAGTTTCAGGTAAGATCACCGTACTAATTACCTCCTTATCATTGTAACAAAAGTAGGTTCCTAGAAAAATTCTATGAGCATTGCCAAATACCAACAATATGAAGAGTCTGTGCAAGTTTTGAAATGTCTGAATTGGGCAAAAAAACCTGTAGTATTATAACACTCGATAAAGATAACATATGTATTAAAACTTAACTTTTATAGAGCAAAAGGCAAAAGGATCAAGTCTAGTCCAAATTTTCATTTAGTTACTGACCTCAACTTCTATTTAAACCCGTCACTTTCTAATCATTTTCAATATTGTGAGATTATACTTAATTAGGTTTGGCAGAAAATCAATACAGGAAAATTCCGTGTTCCACATTTTTCGTCAATCTATTCTAGGATACTGGGGCGGGGGGGGGGGGGGGGGGGGCAGTAACAATTACTTGGCCTGTCATTTACCTACTCTCTCTTACTACTATATTACATCTCTTATTCTTGTTTTCTGCAAGTTGCTACTGCTCCTGCCCTGCTGCTGCTGGCTTATCCCTGAGACTGCTGAGAGCGCAAAGAGTGAAAATTTAACGCCTGTGTCTCTGTCCTCCTTGTTTTTGCACCCGGCTCTTTACAAACCCAACACTGGATCTAATGATGCACACTACTATAATGATGGCATTATCACGAGCAAGCATGTTAGAACCCCAAAAAAAGAAAAAAAAGAATTAATGGAAAAGAAGGAAGCAAGACCTAAAAGGCTATCCAGTGAATGCTATGATGTCGTCTGTGTTGTAGGAAAAACTATTACACTGATCGCCCCTAGCTAGTACGTAAAAAAAGAAAGCAAAAGAGAAAGATTAATGATCAACCTTAAATGATGGAAGATGTGGTCTGATATGTGTCACGCATAAAATGCAAACTAACAATAGTTCAAAAATGAAACTTGTAAAATCCCCCTTTTTTCTGCGAAAAGGGTGAAGAAAAGTAAGAGGTACAGTACTCAAATGTTCAAGAGAACTCAAATTAGTACCATTTATATCAGATAATTAATATATATTATTTGCCAATTTCACGAGGAATAGACATTATAATACTTAATGCACCAACTTTACAATGAAAAATCAGTACCCCTGCAGCTTCTACTATTGTTGCAGACAGAAAATTAATGAAGATCGCAATGAAGCAAGTACATGCATGGTTATGATGAGATGTTGATGATTGATTATGATTTTGGACAGCCAGAGATAAGAGAAGCATGAGCTGTTGGTACAGAGAACGTGCAACCAACAAAATAATCAATGAAGCATAATAAACAAAATCAAACATTAATTAAACCAAACAAAGTAGATCGACATAATATTACCCCAGAGAGAGAGAGATCTGAAGCTGAAATCATCAAAAAAAAAAAGAGGAAAATTAAGAAAAGAAAAACCTCATTATAATTCTTCCAATCTCTTCTTCCTCTCAATTGTTGCAGTGTACTACCATCACAAGCTCTTATCATCAACATCATAGAAGAACCAAGAATTCTTAGATTTGTACAAGCTTCTCCCAAGTTACTAGCAAACATCAAGATGAGTAACAAAAAAAGAGAAAAGAACTAAAACCCATAAAATGATAAATAAAAGGAAGAAGAAGAAAAGAGAAGAAATCCTGGATGATGATAATAATAATAATAATAATCTCAACAAAATTCAAAGGGACCGTCGTCCCTCCTCCACCAGCAGCCCAACATAAGCCTCAGCCGGCAACTGCCAGTTAGTCATCAAATTCGCGGCAGCCGTGGAACCATCGTTCATGCCCTGCTGCTGCTGCGGCGGCGGCGGAGACTGGCCCACAAGCCGTTAGCGTCCGGTGCCATCGTCGCCTCCCTCCTCCTCAAGCGGCGCCTCTCGTACGCCGCGTTCCAAACGACGCCGCCATTATCCTACGGGGCCCGCCGCTACCAACTGCCCACCACGCTGCCCCCGACAACCTGCCCTTGTCCCCTGCTTAAGTAAATAGTAAGTCCGGTTGCGGCTGGAGGCGCTGGCGGCGGCAAGAAGGAGCCAGAGAGGGATAGGATCTCGAATCGGCCGTGGAGGTGACGACGGCGCCGGCGCAGGCGGGCTGGCGGAGGGTGACGTTGGTGACTGTGCCGCTGCCGCTGAGCACGCAGACGCCCCGCTGGCGGCGGCGGGCGAATGAGGCGACGCTCTCCCCGATGTCGCAGCGCTGGCGATCTCCATCACGTGGGAACGGAGCGCGTTGGCGCTGTCGCGGTGATGATGATGGGGGCTTGGGCTTGTTCTTCGACCCGGCGGGGCGGCCGCGGGGGCGGCGGGTGATCTCGCCGTCTCCGCCCGAGTGGGCGGGGACGAGCTCCTTGCCGTCTCCGCTGTTGTCGGTGGTGTTTTCGTCGAGTTTTGAGTTTCTTGCTGATGCTGGTGGCGCTGTGCTCGTCTTCGGATTTGGGCCTGTTGGAGGAGCTGGTGTGGTGCTGGTGCTGTGGTGCTGGTGCTGGAACTGGTGGTGGGTCTCTGGTGTGGAAAGGAGGAGGGAGATGGTGGCGCCGGAGGATGCAGCATCCATGGCTTTGAATTCCTCGGAGAAGAGAAAGCACGACCCAAGCTCGATCGATCGAACAAGCAAACGGCGGGCAGCAGCTCGAGCTTTATTTTCTTGATCTTGTAGTAGTACTTGTGACCGACCGAATTAAGTTGTCACGATCTCTGTGGTCTATATTGATATCGATTGGGATTTAGGAGAGAGCTGGGAGAGGTAGGAAACGGATGGGTTAGGGTTAGGGTTAGGGTTAGGGCTAAGGGTTAGGTCAAAGGGAGGGGAGAGGTAGAAAGGGAAGGGAGAGTTGGTCTTGGTGTTGGTCTTTGAGTGAGAAGGATTGGATGAGAGCGAGGGAGAGAGAGAGAGAGAGAGAGAGCAGGTGTTTGGTCTGGATAATAAGACAGCCTGCGCATGGGCGGTGGCCAGGCCCACTTTTCTCTATCTGTGAAGCCCACGTTCTCACCTCTTCTCTCTCTTTCTCTCTCTCTGGCTGACAAGATAATGTAATGATATTTGCTTTTCTTCTTCTTTCGTTCGCGCTCTCTCTCCCTCTCTCTCTCTCTCTAAAAAGAGAAACCACCTTTCTCATTCTCCGTGTTTTCGGTACCCAAAAGCTTCGTAGTTTATTTAGATTACTTGCTAGGAAACCATATAAAAATGCTCCCACCGTTTTCCTAAATCATTGCATTTATACCCTCAGCAAAAGTCCGCATTCTACTAATTTCGCTGGAGCAAACGTACTAATGGATTCAGGTAACGCGAACGCATAGGATCGATCTGATTTGGGCGCGCCAGATCTATATATCAAGATTCAAAGATGGAGTGCACCTGTTGTGGTCAATGGTCACACGCGCACCCTGAGTAACTTGCATTTTTTTTTGTCAATGAACTAAAATTTTATTTATTTTCCAAATGTAAGGTTGAGAATCACCAAAATGCCTGATAATCTGGTAATAAAAAATGAAAATTACATTTCCTCAAGCAATTCTTTCATATGAACATGAACACTATCATTCAAAATTTTTGCATAAACTGAGAACTTGATTGCTTGAACAACCTAGCATGGCCCCCTCATTTTGCCTTGGAATATTCTTAAGTTTCTCTCTTGCCAAATTATATAAACTGTAGTAGCAAGAGTCATCCTCTTCAACTTCTTTATGAGCCCTCTACATTTCAAATTACAAGAATATCAATTCATGAGTTGATTCCATTCACATGATCTCCAGTTAAATCTTAACCATATCATTACCAGGTTCCATATGTCAGCTGAGAACTGACATTCAAAGAAGAGATGATTCCTTCTTTCCGATTGAAGCCTATAACATAGAACACATTGGTTTTGGTTTATGTTTAATATCCCCATTTGGCATAGTCTATCCAAAGTGAAGCCTAGAATGGCACGTCAACCACAGAGTAAAAGAGTGTTTAGGATATAGGATCCCATCCCAAACTGTATCGCACCAGCAAACCAATGGAGCTGGCCGAATTAAAACCCTGTATACAGCAGAAAGTTGAACTTTGCCATTAGAGCAGCAACCATCAATGACATTCTTCAAATTTTTAAAGCTACCAAACGTTCTCAACATCATATTGTTAGACCCTAGAGGGGGGTGATTAGGGTCTTGAGGTAATAATTATGCAATAAAAAATAAGATAAGCAAAGCACCACAAAATGAACAACCAAAGTAAATGAGATAAGGTAAGAGATCGTTATCCAAGTGACGCGCGATGTGTAACGAGGTTCGGTCCACTGACCTACGTCCCCGTTCCCCACTCTCGAGGAGAATCCACTACACAACCCGGTTTGGAAGCCAGAACTTCTTCTACACAACGATCTCCACAAGATCTCACTATCACACAGTTGATCTTCACAAGATCAAGCTCACAACAGTAATAAATTGTGTAAAATCTCTCTTTGCAGTAACCCTATGAAAAAGAGAAAGATCACACTTGAAGCTTGGGATGTGAACTTAAAAACAGAGAAAAACAGGATTAAAAGTTTGGCTCTTTTGAAAACAGTAAAATAAAACTTAGGATTTTCAATAAGCTTTGATGACTTGAAGAAGGGGGGTATGAGGGTTTAAATAGGAAAAAGAACAGCTGCCAAAACTCATACCCAAATCTCCCAAAATCCCGTAAAAACGATTTTCTGAAACTGTACTGAAAAAACCCATTGGGCGAATGGCGGTCGACCGTGGGAATTTCGTCGTCGACCGCGAGCAACTCCAGAAACTATTTTGGGCTCTGGACATCAGCCGATCGACCGTGACGATCGACCGCGAAACTCTCTGGACTGCATCCGGTCGACCGTCACGGTCGGGGGGGAGCCTCTAAAAAACATCCTGAGTCTCTGGACTCAAGGCGATCGACCGTGACGGTCGATCGTAAACTGATACATGACAAAAGAGGTATAAAAAAGTTTTTGACTCTTTTTAAAAATACTCAGTTGATTTCTAAACATTGTGTAACTTTGTAAAATATTTTTAATACTAAAGACAAACTGTTTAGAAAAGGAATTTTGCGAATAGGTCCTTATACTTGTGAAAAATAATATTTTGTCAAAACGCTCAAAATTATAAGTATGAAAACGTGTGTGATATCTCAATAACTTCGAATGAAATCTACAACTACTTGCCTACAATCTAGCACTAGAGAGAAAAGAAAAACTAGCAAATATCCTCACATAGAATTACATTTCTTTGAGTCTTGATATTGCTTAAAGTTGATGAAGCTTTCACTTGTATATGTTGTTCTTGATTAACATTTGCTTCATCGCATTGTCTCCTCCTCCTTTAGATATCTTCGTTGTAGCTCATATTCCATCCAATCCTCCATATGTGATACTAACAAGCTTGATATGTATATTGATTATAATATCATTCAATAAGCAATTAGTACCGATAATGGTGGTTATAAATCATCATCAAAACATAAGGGCTAATAATATCCCCCTTTTTGATGATGACAACCAACCATTATATTGGAGCAAAATAAACATAGCTTATAGATAGTAGCTCCCCCTATCTATGAGCTCCCCCTAACTATATGCAACAAATGAGGAGATTTCTCTCCCCCTTTGTCACCATCAAAATGGGATAAATGAAATGGTAAACAAAAATACATATGAAGTGCAACTAACCAAGCAAATAAACAAAACTTTTACACAGTGCATAAACCTAAACCATTTCTTATGCGATAAAAATCATCTTCTTTTTTTTTGGTAAATGAAGAATTTATTCATTTCCAAAATGTAAAAGATATATACATCAATAATCTCACTGCCAAAAAGTGAGATAACATCTTGCGGCTCTTAAAATAGAGCTCAGCAAACACTCCTCAACATCATTCCTGTGCATGAGACATACAGAATAATCCCATACTCAAACAGACAAAAGCAAATTCCTTCTTAAACCCTCTTAAGAATTATCTTCCACACCATGAGATATTCCACTTCATACCTACAATCTGGCAACACAGAGATTAATTCTGAGCTCTACAAGGAGAGAACACATCCTCTGCATTCAACTGACAGGGATTTGTTCAAGATAGATGTGAGGATGTCCAACTTAATGTTTTTGATCAAACTATTAGCAGATCTATTCTCCATCTTGAAAATTCTGGAATTTCTTTCTCTCCAAATATTATAGACTGTAGCAGCTAATGCCATCCTCTTGGTTTTTTGCTTAAACCCACTACCCCTCAATCTAAAATTGTACCAATTCATGAGGGAAGTCCATTCACAGCACCTCCATTTGAATTTAAGCCACTCCATTATACCATTCCAGACATAATTAGACATTGAGCATCCAAAGAAGGGACAACACTAAGAGGCTTGGTAAAGATGTCCGCTAATTGAGATTTAGTGTTAATATAAACAAGGGATACATCTTACCTCTCTACATGATCGCGTAAGAAATGATGGCACACATCAATATGCTTGGTTCTAGAGTGCAAAACAGAATTTTTTGAAATATTTATAACACTAGTGTTATGACAAAAGATTTTTATATTTTGAAAATTCAAATCATAGTCAACTAAACTTTGTTTCATCCATAAAACTTGGGCACAACATAAGCCGACGGCAATGTATTCCGCTTTCGTAGTGGACAAGGCAATACAATTTTATTTTTTGGAAGCCCAAGAGACAAGAGAGTTACCCAAAAATTAACATGTACCACTCGTACTCTTGCGATCTACCTTACATCCGGCAAAGTCGGTATCACAAAAACCATAAAGATCAAAAGAGGTGCTTTTTTGATAAAATAAACCAAGATCAATTGTACCATTGATATATTTAATAATTCGCTTAACCATAATCAAATGAGACGTTTTTGGAGAAGCTTGAAAACGTGCATAAGCACACACACTAAACATGATATCGGGTCTACTAGTGGTAAGATAAAGAAGACTACCTATCATACCTTGATAGAGTTTTTGGTCTACATCATCACCATTATCATCCGCATCAAGCTTGATATTTGTACTCATGGGAGTTGGTGCATGCTTAGAATTCTTCAAACCGAATTTCTTCACCAATTCTCTAGCATACTTGCTTTGAGAAACAAATATCTCATCCGTAATTTGCTTGACTTTGAGCCCGAGAAAGAAAGTAAGTTCTCCCATCATACTCATCTCAAAATGATCTTGCATAACTTTAGAAAATTTCTTGCATAGAGATTCATTAGTAGCACCAAAATGATATCATTAACATATATTTGAACTAAAATAAAATCATTTATTCTTTTTCTTACAAAAAGTGTATTATTAATTTTCCCTTTCGAAAAACCATTTTCAAGAAGAAAACTAGAGAGACGAGCATACCAAGCTCTAGGAGCTTGTTTTAACACATATAAAGCTTTTTGAACCCGGTAAACATGATTAGGAAATGAATGATCCATAAAACCGTGGGGGGGGGGTTGCTTAACATATACTTCCTCTTCTATAAAACCATTTAAAAAGGCACTTTTAATATCCATTTAAAATAATTTAAAATTCTTAAAACTTGTAATTGCCAAAAACATCCTAATAGATTCCAACCGTGCAACCGGTACAAAGGTTTCATCATAGTCTATGCTCTCCTCTTGATTGTATCATTGGGTAACTAAACGAGCTTTATTTCTTGTTACTATGCCATGTTCATCAAGTTTGTTTCTAAAAACCCACTTTGTTCTAATCACACTAGCATTGTTAGGTCTAGGAACTAGTTTCCAAACATTATTTCTTTGAAAATTGTTTAGTTCATCATGCATAGCTAAAACCCAAAAATCATCTTTTAAAGCATCATTAATCTTTTTAGGTTCTATTTGAGATAGAAAGGTAACATTACCACACTCACTCAAAGCTTTTGAGCGAGTTAGAACCCCTTGTGAAGGATTCCCTATTATTTGCTCTTTTGGATGATTTGGTGCAAATTTCCATGCTTTGGAGAGTTCATCTCGCTCTTGCTCTTG